TTGATGTCCAAAATGATCTAAAAGCCCTTGCACAAGGTCCAAGTTACATTGCAAGAAGATTCAAAGCATTCGATATAAATAATGGGTATCGATTTCGAACAAAACAATATGAAGAGGGCATGAAGACCCTAAATAGTGGTGTCATGGTTGTTTCAAAGACACAGAGTTATGCAAGTACAAGTGATAATGCTCCGAAGTCCACAGATATCACTTATTATGGTAGATTGAATGATATTGTGGAGTTGAATTGCTTTGAAGAATTTAAGGTTGTTTTATTTATATGTGATTGGGTTGATGTAACCCAAGGTAGAGGAGTCAAGGAAGATGGGTTCGGTTTCACACTTGTGAACTTCTCACATTTAATACACTCCGGTGATCGGGAAAGTCATGAACCTTTTGTATTTGCAAGCCAAGCTCAACAAGTAATATTTGTTCAAGATCCTCATGATCATCAATGGTTTATTCCTAGACAAATAAAACCTCGAGACATTTTTGACATGGGACATAAAAGGAGTATAGTGTTTGAGTTATCAATGCATAATGATGTTGATGACTTGGCTTTGTTGGAAAAAATTTGTGACTTAGAACATGATAATAATAATTGGGTAAGAAATGGAGTTGATGGGACAATACTTGAAATAAGTGTACATTCTAACCTTCCTTCAAATGAGGTTGAAGACAAAAATAAAAGAGGGAGTGATAGTGAATCTGATAGTGATTATGAATAATATGGGTAAGAAATGGAGTTGATGCCACACATGCCCTTTGATACTCATGGTAATTTGTTACTGCTTTTTGTTTATTGTTTCAATCTTGTCTAAATGTTTTTATCAGGGCAATAAAATATTGTTTCTGTGTATAAGAATGTTCATGTACATTGGATGTCTTGAACTTCCATTCCACTTTATTTTGAACAGCTCCCAGAACCTAAGAGAAGTATAGGAGGATTACTAAAAAGGCACTAATAGAAATCATTTAATTAGTACTTTGGTGAATATGTGTTTTGCAATACTACCATATTGGTTTTTGCTGTAGTGCCAGTTTAAGTATCTGACAGGGAAATCACAAGATGTGAGGTACATGAGATAATTATGTAATTGGAAGTTGGATTCCTCTGTACTTTATTTCATATTCTTCATACTCCTACTCCTGTAGACCACAAGTATAATCTATTTTCTTAAGCAGTATTCATTTGTGTTTATTTATTTAATAATATCTATTTATCATGTAGCTTGTTTTAGTCTTTTTTTTTGTATGACAGCATATGATATCCTGGTTGAATTTTTTTCTATTCTATAGCTTACATATTTTTCTTTTTGGATTTGTAGAATCACAATTACCTACAAAATCTACTGTAACTGTGAAAACAGGTTTGGCCCATGTCTTATTGTTTTACACATGCTATTTTTTCTTAAAGAGGTATAAGTTACTTTTGTAATTTCTCAACCTTTTTGTTTGGATTTGTAGAATCACAATCAACTAAAATTCCAATTGCTATAGTAATTTGATTTATTATAATATGTAGAGGTTAACAAAATCAATATGGTTCAAGATGATGACCTCACTTCCTTGCTCAAGCTTACTAGAAAAGATAATGATGAAGTTGTTCGCATACTAGCAGCAAAGGCAATTGCCAATTTATCCATGAATGGTGATTATTTATTAGACATTGTATTATTTAATTTCATTTCACAGTTTTTCCTTTAAATTTAAGATGTGCGTGTTAGAATTAGTTTGTTTTATTTTATGATAAAATTATTGAAACAATAGAATGATAAGTTTTATTTAGCGTATTTAATTTCATTCTACTGTAATATATCTTTTCTTGTTCTATTAAGTTCATAAATGGTACCAAAAGAAATTGAGATTTGACTTCTGTTTTAAAATAAGAAAGTATGTTAAAAAATACTATATATTTTTTCTTTGGTAATATTCCAACCTCAAAAAGGTTTATTCCATTTTATCATGACGTGCCAAACCGAACCGAACCACATGTCTAGAATCACTCTTGTCCCGCTTATACTTTATGATACTGATCCATAATTTAATCACCATAATGAACATTAGGCAATGAACGTAACAGAGCTATATGTATTTTTATTGGTTGAATGTTTGTACCTTTCTTTAAATAAGAATTCAACAAAGTATAACGTGGTATTGAGCCTAATCCATTTCTTATGCACAGGATATTCCTTTGTTGTAATACTGCATTTGATTTGATAGTACATTAAATGTTATATTGTTAACAGGAAATTGATGAACCTGCATTGAAGGAGGACATTTGTTTATTTTGTGCTTTGCAGGATTCAATTGCAATTGATGAAGACCTTTTAGACATTTTAGCAAATAGTTCTAAATCATTAGAGACCTTGCTTTTTTTGGGATATGATTATCTTAGAAATGAAATTATGTAATTTCTTTGGATCATGACATCATTGACTATTCATTTTGTCTTTTCAATGGTTTCCTTGGTATCTCAAGGACATGATAAACTCATAAATTTTGCATTACTCTAATAAATGGGTATTTGGTGTTATTGCAAATATGGAGTACTCATATAAAAAATTTATTATTCTCGTTTTTATGAGAAATTGTGGATGAGAATATTAGTAAAGAAAGTAGTTTTTTTATAAAATAAAATAAAAATCAATTGATGAAAAATTGAATTTGATTCCCTCATCAATTTCAACTCTGTTTGATAATTTTGTGTCTAAAATTTCACAGCTCCAGTGCCAGTTTCCATGGCCTTAGCGCCAAGTCTCTGGAGATCACCCTTGATCTAAAAGTTCCAACGCTCAAGCGCCACAATCTGCAGCTGAAGCGCCAAGTCTCTGGCGCCAATTCTGAAATAAAACTGAACCATTCTCTCTCCACCCCTTCATTTCTCATTTCTCTTTTCTCCCACACACGAAACCCCCCAATCTCCCCACTCTTCATCTTCCTCCTCACATTCTCTCTATAGGATTTCCAATTTGAGGCATCAAGGTTCCATTTTTCCTCAACCATTTCACCCAAAAATACCAAAGCATCCATCTATTTGCTAAGATATCAAGGTAAAAGTTTTCATCTTTCTTCCTCCTTCACAATGCTCTTCGTGTTTGTGTGCTTCTCATCCTCTTGAATTCTTTTCTTAATCATCTTCTCAAATTTTGAACTTTTTGATTGGCTTGAAGTACACAAGTGTGAAAAGCATGAATTTTGGTGATTGAATCTTTAATGTAATACATGCATGAGCTCTCAAATTTCGTGCTTGCTTTGTGTTTGATAAAATGCTTGAATGAGAAGGGTTTTCAATTTAAATGCCAAATGCACATTATTCTTATATGGTCATGAATTTTATGAAGCTTTTATGAACTATTCATCTCACATGAACAACATGCACATCCCTCATGCATATTCATCATTTTTGGGTTCTTTGATCATCATGAAAATACAATGTGGAATTGATTTTCTTCTTGAACTGAAAAGTTTAGATGGAGGGTTGTTTTGGTGTGCATGAATGGCTAATTCTCATCTCTGCCTGTTATGTGTTAACAAAATGCTCAAGTCAAAAATGATCTCATTTTTCAAGCAAAATAACCTCTGTGGTGGGTTTCAATGTGTGGCATGCGTTGTGCGTAAGTGCTCATGTGTGTAATTTTCAGGCATGCATTGTATACAATTTTAAAGCTAAATGAACTATATTGAGCCTCATGTAGTGGAATGATAGCAATATCTCTTTTGCCCCTTGAAAAATTTTCTGAATCACTTGTGTGCTAACATGGTTGCAAGCATGGTTTGATTTTTCAGATGGTTCGTTCAAAAGGGGCAGGTACAGGCAGAAGTTCTAAAGCTACTCATGAGATCTCAGCTGATAGAAAAAGAAAGAAAGTGGTCACTTCCTCACCAACTTCATCAGCCACCCCTTCTGAGGACGAAGAAGCACCACCCTCACCTCGGCCAACCAGAAAGTTCACTTTTCTGCCAAGCCGATTTCGCACCAGGCACAAGCAACAAAGATTTTTGGATCTAGAAGGCCGCCAGATTATAGCTGAACGTCCAGTGGTTGAAATGTCCTCTCTTAGATTTCTCGCATGAATATCAAAGGAGGAATTGGACTAAGCTTGGTGAGCCACAAGAAAAATACAATGCAAGCATTATTCGAGAATTTTTTGCTAATGCCTTTCCTATCAACCCTGATTTCAAAGATAGAGTCTCATGGGTGAGAGGTAAGATCATCCCTTATGATCCAGTGACAATTAACACCTACCTACACACAGAGTACACCATACCAGAACAAGATGATTATAGGAAGCTCCTGAGAACTGCAATGGATGAAGAGATGTCAACATTGATGCTTGAGACTCTGAGCCTTCCAGGGAGCCAATACCAGACAGGCACCAAGGGCCAACCCACACACATCCTTCGAGCTGATCTGAAATCCCTTGTGCGGTTATGGCAGGCCTTCCTTTACAGCAATGTTGTTCCTCTCACTCACACCTCTGACATAACCATCTCCAAGGCAAAGCTAATTTTTTGTATATTGCAGCAGAAGGATGTGGACATAGCAACCTTAATATCAAATGAGATTCATGCTATTGTCCTGTCTACACCTTCTAAATCTGGTGCTGTTAGACCACTAGCTTTCCCTGGTTTGATTACAGGTTTATGCAAAGAAAAAGGAGTGGTGATTCCTCAACCATTGGTCCCAATCAGGAGGCAAATTGATCATGTATTTGTTAATGCTCGTTGCTACAATCGGAGGGAGTTTCCAAGGGCATCTGACACAAACCTCCCACCACCTAGCCAGCCTCAACCTTCACCCCCAGTATCTATACCTCAAGCTCCTCCACCGGGTCCCTTTGATTTTTCTTCCATGCAGGCATACATAGTTCAACAATTCCAGCATATTGAGCAGCAGCACCAGTTGGAGATAGCCCATCTGCGCCATATGCAACTGCAACAGGCTGCTAATCATCGCGGACAGTTGGCCTTGCACTCATATTTTTATAACTACACTCTACATCAAGCCGGCACCGGCGGAAGCTTGTATCCCTGGCCTACTCCAGAGCAATTTCAACAAGCTATCCTTTGGCCTGGGGACAGCCCTGTTTTTCCAGGAGGGGGTGATGCACAAGGCGAACAGGTGATGGACTCTGAAGGAGAAGATGAGGAAGGAGGAGATGATGGATCACTATCACCCACCTTTTGAGGAGGAGTTTAATTTTAATTATGCCAGCTTAAATTCAAGTCATTTTAATTTCAGTTATTTAGTTTTCATTTCGTTTGGATTATTTTGCTGGTTTACTGGTTTTAGTGTTCTTGCTTGAACTTTTGGTGGTCATTACCTGTTTTGATGGTTTATTAATCTGATGTTTTGGTTTGAACTTGTTGTGTTCATAGTTGCATTTTTAATGTCTTTGGTTGAAATGTGGGGATAGTCAAAAAAAAAAAATAATAAAAAAAAAAATAATAAAAAATAAAATAAATAAATAAATAAATAAATAAATTTTTTGAAAATAAAGGAAATGAGATGACTTTTAGATCAACAAAAAGTTAAAACACCTCTTTTGATTCACTTTGAATTAGTTTGTTTTAAAACTTGCTTTGAGGTTGTATTTCAGAACGGGTCGTTCTGGTTTTCTAGAACGGGCCGTTTTGATTTAAGAACAGACCGTTCTAGGGTGCAAAGTTAACACTTAACGTTCGGATCCAGAACGGGCCGTTCCAAATCCAGAATGGGCCGTTCTGGCCCACATCTGATGCCTATAAATAGAAATCTCAGGAACAGTTCTCAAGACCCCCAAAAATTTCGTCCAAACTCCTTAAAGCTCGAAATTTCTCTCTTTTTCTCTCTCCCTCTCTCTTTTGTATTTCTTGAGATTTTGTGAGGCATTGCAGTGTGAAAGGTTGCCACAAAGCACCTAAAATCTTTTTGTTTTGAAATTCAATAGAGCTCATTCAAGAGGTATTTCAGTTAATCTCTTTCTCTTTTTTTTATTTCTTCTTTATAATAAATATTGTTATAATAAAAATAATCATGTAGACATTTTAGGGTTAATTGTATAATTTAAATTTCAAGCATGTAAATAATTATTAATAAAAGGGGATTTAATATTTATATTATTATCATTTATAATGCTAACTTCATCATAGGGTACCAATTAAGGGCGTTGTAGGGGTGCTTAATAATGGATGTAGTTACAACATATTTATATGACTCTCTTGATGCTGACATTTGTATGAAACTCCCAAAAGGATTTAATTTGTCTGACGATGCAATTTCTACAAAAGATTATTCGATTAAATTGAATAAGTCCCTATATGGGCTAAAGCAATCAAGTCGTATGTGGTATAATTGACTAAGGGAATACTTGTTACAATAAGGATATAAAAATGATCCAATTTGTCCGTGTATATTTATAAAAAGATCTGAAAATGGATTTGCCATAATTTTAGTTTATGTAGATGACATAAACATTATTGGAACTCCTAAAGAGCTTGCAAAAGCAATAGATTACTTAAAAAAAGAATTTGAAATGAAGGATCTAGGAAGGGCAAAGTTTTGTCTAGAACTGCAAGTTGAATACTTAGAAAATGGAATTCTTATGCATCAAGAAACTTATATAACAAAGGTTCTTAAAAGGTTTTATATGGACAAATCACATCCATTGTGCACTCTCATGGTTGTAAGATCTTTAGATGTTAACAAAGATCCATTTAGACCCCAAGAAAAGGATGAAGAAATACTTGGTCCTGAAGTACCATATCTTAGAGTTATAGGAGCACTAATGTGCCTTGCTAATTATACATGACTTGATATAGCATTTGCTGTTAATTTGTTAGGAAGATATAGTTCTTCACCTACATGAAGACATTGGAATGAAGTTAAACAAATCATTCGTTATCTTAGAGGTACAATGGATATAGGGTTATTATATTCAAATGTTCCCAAACCAGAACTAAATGGTTATGCAAACGCAGGTTATTTGTCAAATCCTCATAATGGTAAATCACAAACAGGATATTTGTTTACAAGTGGTGGTACAACCATTTCATGGCGATCTGTAAAACAAACTATATCAGCCACTTCATCTAATCATGCTTAAATTTTAGCATTACATGAGGCAAGTCGTGAATATATTTGGCTAAGATATGTGATTCAACACATATAGGAAACTTGTGGTTTATCTTTTGGAAAAATGATATCGACAGTTATATATGAAGATAATGCTGCATGTATTGCACAATTGAAAGATGGATACATAAAGGGAGATAGAACAAAACATATACTACCAAAATTATTTTTTACTCATGATCTTCAAAGGAATGGTCATATAAATGTTCAACAAGTCCGCTCAAGTGACAACCTAGCAGAT